GGAGGGGAGGGGAGGGGATAACATGGGACAGGGGCAATGGCCTGATCAGCAAGGATCCTCTGCTTTCTCTCTGACCCCAGGTATCCCCAACACTGACTGCGGAGGAGCTGACTAACCAGGTACTGGAGATGCGGGGGACAGCAGCTGGGACTGACTTGTGGGTGACATTTGAGATTCTTGAGCACGGGGAGCTTGGTGAGTATGGCCATGTGTGTGCACGTGTGGTGGGCGGGTCAAAGTCACCAATGACTTCCATGTTCCAAATACAGTAGACACTTCCCCATGCATATAATGGGACAATCCACACAGCTGGCTATTCCCTTTCTCAATACTGTCTCCTCTCTTGGTTTTCGTGGACCCCACAAATCCTTGGTTTCCTTTCCATCTTGAAGGAGGCTTCTCTTCCTCCTTTGTCCAGATTCCAAATGTTGAAGTGACCCAGGGCTCTATCCTAACTCTTTTCCTTTCTCTATCTACATTTCTCCTTGGATGAGCTCATCCCTCCCCACAGCTTAAATGCCATTAATAAGCTGACCCCCCACTTTTTATCTCTGTACCAGACCCCTCCTCTGAGCTCCAGACTCACATGTCCAATTGTTTACTTGGCACCTCTGCTTGTACATCCCATACACCTCTCAAATTTATTACTTATTTTTTAAAACAAGGTACCTGCTATCAGGGAAATCTCATTTTTTTATTATTATTATTTTAAAATATATTTTTATTGGTTTCAGAGGGAGAGGCAGAGAGAGATAGAAACATCAATGATGCGGAGAGTCATTGATCGGCTGCCTCCTGCACACCCCCTGCTGGGGACCGAGCCCACAACCGGGCATGTGCCCTGACCTGGAATCAAACCTCGATCTCCTGGATCATAGGTCGATGCTCAACCACTGAGCCACGCCATCCGGGCATAAGCCTCTCAAATTTAAAATGTTTAAGACCAAACTCAATTCCCAGCCCCCTCCTCTAACAAAAAGTCCAGGCCATTTCCCAGTTTTCCCTAAGTCAGTCACTGGCACCATCACTCACACAGTTATCAAGGCCAGACACTTGGGAGTCCTCTGGGACTCCTCCCTTTCCTTCATCTTCATACCCAACCCAACCAACTAGTTCTGTAGATCCTATTTAATCTATCATTCCATCTCCACCATGGTCACCACCCTGATCAAAGTCACCATTATGTCTCTGCTCCCCAACATTAACCACTGAAATGCACAGTCCCAGAAAAGAAATAGCTGGGATAGCAGTATTCCATTCTTGCCTCCTAACAATCCATTTTCCACACAGCAGCCAAATGGGCAGCAAGCATAAGTCAATCAGGTCATGCCATTCCAATGGTTAAAACCTTCCAACAGGCTCCCATTGAACTTAAAATTCCTTTGGACTTAAAATTCGGGTTCCTTATTGTGTTCCAAAAGACCCTGTGCACCTGGCCCTTGCTTATTCCTCAGACCTCATCTCACATAGTTCATCCTCTCATCTATTCTCTTTGTCCCAGCCACACCGGCTGTTAGTTCCTCAGACACATCTATCCTGACTCAGGACCTCTGTTCTTGCACTTTGCCATGCCTGAAATCTTCTTCCCCATGACCTTAGCGTGGCTGCTTCCTAATCCTTCAGGCCTCCGAGTCTCATCTACAAACGCTCCCTCAGAAAGGCCTCGCCGGATCACCATATCTCAGTAGCTGTCCTGTTACTCTCTCCTTCAGTTTCTTATTGTTTCTTTCAGAATAATGATTGTCTTTAATTATTTTGTTTACTTACCTGTTTACTGCCTGCTCCCTCACTGGCTGAGGGCTTTGTGAAGGCAGGCCATGTGTTTCATGTTCACCACTGCATCCCCAGGGCCAGCACTGTGCCTGGCGTAGGCTCAGTGCTAACACAAATGTCTGTGGGCTGGATGAATGAATGAATGAATGGTAGGACATGAGTTGGGGGCTCCAGGCCATGGATGGATATTCTGGTTGATACCCACCCCACCTTGCCCCTTAGAGCGGCCACTGCATCCCAAGGAAAAGGTCCTGGAGCAGGCCTTACAATGGTGCCAGCTCCCAGAGCCCTGCTCGGCCTCCTTGCTCTTGAGAAAAGTCTCCCTGGCCCAGGCCAGCTGCCTCTTTACAGGTGAGCAACCTTCTTCAGCCCAGAACCTCTAGGCCTCTCCCCCAGAACCCTCCACCTGGTAATGGCCATTTGTACCCAGGTGTCCAGCGGGAGAGCCCAAAGGTGGGGCTCTTGCGGTGTCGAGGGGAACCGCCCCGCTTGCTGGGAAACCGCTTCCAGGAGAGGTTCTTTCTGCTTCGTGGTTGCTCCCTACTGCTGCACAAAGAGAAAAAGGTGGGGCCCTGGGGCTATCAGGGAGGGACCCTGGGAGGCCATGTGTGCAGAGCCAGGACCACACTGACCCTCTCCCTCCACAGCCCATAACCTCATCTATCTCACTTCGTCCCTGGCCCTTTGACCCTGTGATCACATAACCCCAATGCTTCCACGCGATCCTTCTCTCACTTGTCAACCCCACTGCCTCCGTCCATGTTCCCAGAGCTCTAAACCAGAACGGGAGTGGTCTCTGGAAGGTGCCAAGGTCTACCTGGGGATCCGCAAGAAGTTAAAGCCTCCAACGCCGTGAGTTTTCTTCCCCAGCCCACACTCTCAGGCTTTCCTACCACCACCCCTCTGGTTCTTCTGCTCACCCCATCACTGTTGTCCTTTGCCTCCCAGGTGGGGCTTCACATTGATACTGGAGAAGATGCACCTGTGAGTACCTCCCAGCCTGGCTTCTCCTTTGGCCAAACCCTGCTCCCTGTCCTTCATCTCCTCACTTTTCCTGTCCTCCATCCCTATAGCTGTGACCTCTTTCCTTTCCCTAAATTCCCCTGCTATCACCCCCAGCTACCTGTCCTGCACTGATGAGGATGAGATGTGGGACTGGACCACCAGCATCCTCAAAGCCCAGGTGAGGGGAAGGAGAGAGTGGACGGCTAGGTCTGCAGTCCCAGCTCTAACCCTCAGTACCTCCCATGCCCACCTGTGCCAACCTCTTTCCCTCCCTCCAGTACGATGACCAGCAGCCAGTGGTCTTACGACGCCGTTCCTCCTCTGACCTTGCCCGTCAGAAGTTCGGCACCATGCCTTTGCTACCCATCCGTGGGGATGACAGCGGGGCCACTCTCCTCTCTGCCAATCAGACCCTGGTGAGATCCCAGCCCACCTCAACCCCTTCCTGATCCCTGCCCACACTGCAGAGGCAATGTTGCACCTGTCAGATTGGTGTCCCCCTCTGCCTTCTCTGTGCCCCCACTCCCCACTTCCTGTTGCCAGGCCTCACTGTGTCTCTGTGTCTTTCTCTCCTCGAATCCCCACCCCACCTGTGCGCAGAGGCGACTTCACAATCGGAGGACCCTGTCCATGTTCTTTGTGAGTACTGTGCCTGCTCCAGCTGTGCTCCTGTCAGCGCTGTGTTCTTCTGTGCTGCCTGAGCTGGTGTGCTCTCCGTACTTGTCCCGATGCAGGCCATCTGTGTGTCTGTGTGTGTGTATGTGTGTAAGAGAGAAAAAGAGTACATGAGAAAGTTCTGGGGCCAGAAAAAGTAAAGAAAATGAGGGATGGCAAGATGTGGTGAGGAAAGGAGGAAGTGGTTACAGGATCTGAGAAAGAAAGAAAGTGGTGACATGAATGCATTTTGGAGTTAGACAGACCAGGGTTCAAGCCCCAGCTCTACCATTTGGCAGCTTAACCCCTCTGTACTTCAGTTCCCTCACCTTCAGTGTAACCCATCGTTCAGAGTTGCTTTGATACCATATCGGCAAAATATTCTGCAGCACCTGGCTGAGAGCAAGAGCTCAATAAATAATAGTGATAAATAATCCAGCAACTCTAACTCTGCCTCCTGCCAATCCATTCCTATCCAGCCAATGAAGTCATCCCAGGGGTCTGTGGAGGAGCAAGAGGAACTGGAGGAGCCTGTGTATGAGGAGCCAGTGTACGAGGAAGTGGGGGCCTTCCCAGAGCTGACCAAAGACACCCTCACCTCCTTCTCCACCATGAGGGGGCAGACAGCCAAGTCAGAGAGCCCCCCCGCCAGCCAGAGGTCCTCCGATCAGCCCCTTCTCTCCAAGACAGGCCGGGAGGAGAGGCCACCAGAGCCCCCTCCAGGTCCCCCTTCAAAGAACAGCTCCCAGGCATATGCATCCTTGGAGGAGCAGCTGCTCCAGGAGCTCAGCAGCCTCATCCTGAGGAAGGGAGAAACCACCCTAGGCCTGGGCAGCCCCTCCGAGCCCTCCAGCCCCCAGCCCCCAAGCCCCAGCAGCCACCTGACACAGACACCTGGCTTCCCCACCCCACCTCCCTGCACTTCCAGTCTACCCTCCAGCCAGCCCCTCACATGACCAGCAGTCTGAGGGGTAGGTAACCAAAAGACCAAGCTCTCACCTTGGCAGACATTGTTGGGAGCTTCCTCTGCCCTGGCTGGAAAGACTCTAGAATCCAGTGTGGTACTGTGGAAGTAGCATAGGAACTGGGGGCTCCAGAGGCTGTGTCCTGCCCAGAGAGGGGCAGGTCATGGCCCCTCTTTGGGCCTCTGCTCACCTGTCTGTACCTTGAATTAACTGAAAGTAGAGCAGTGAAAGTCACACTGTTTCTCAGGGCTGTAGGCCCCACATATGTTTCCTTCAACAAGGGCAACTCCTGCTTTATATATTTGATATGTTGGGGTTCTGTGAGAGATTTGGGGTTTGAAAAGAATGGTCTTACTGCATTAAATTAAAAAAAGGATTTGGAAGCCAGAGCTCTGAATGATCTCCAAGTCTGTCCTACTCTGCCTCCTACGTTTGGGGACTACATTGAAGCCCAAGAGTGGAGAGGTCGACTAGAGTTGGGAGCTGGGGCAAAGACAAACCAAAAAGGATGGGTCACTGTTAATAAACCTTGGAACCAAAAGGCTACCATTCTTTTATTCATTTATTTGTTCATTTGTTCACTCAACAAATATGTATTGAACACCCAGTTGTTGCTAGGAGTTGGGGATAGAGTATGAACAAAACAAATGGGGTCCCTGCTTTTATGGAGCTTCCGCTGTAGAGGGGGAACAGAAAACAGAAAATACACTCACAAATTCAGTGCTGTGAAGAAACTAAACCAAAGTGATGTGCTTGTGGCGGCAACCTTTAGGCTGGGTGGATGGGGAAGGCCTCCATGAAGAGTAAGGGTAAGAAGCAAGACATGTGGAGAGCTGAGAGAAGGAGCACTCTAGGAGAGGGAAAGCAGGAGGCATGAAGGCTCTTGGGCTGCCAGTGGGAAGGGACTTGGCGTGCTGGAGGAACAGCAAGGAAGCTGGAACACTGTGAGTAGGGAGTAGAAGAGTATAGGCTGATGAGCAGGGGCCCAGTTATGCACAGCCTTGTAGACAATGCTAGGGCATTTGTATTTTATTCTGAAGCAACTGAAGAGTTTTAAGGAAGACAGTGATGAGATCTTATTTCCTTTTTTTTTTTTTAAAGCAATTACTCTGGCTGTTTATGACCAATGGGTTATGGTAGGGGGTGGAGACTGGAGGCAAGAGACCAGATATCAGACTAGGAGACTGATAATGAGGGCTTGGACTAGGTCAGTGGTTTTAGAAATTGAGGGAAGTAGATCAACAGAAGATATTTTTTAGAAACAACCTATAGGACTCACTGATGGATGGAATGTGGGGGTAGGAGAAGGGGCACACTGACCCTGGGTTTCTGACTTTCCCAACTGGATGGAGAGTGGTACCATTTAGTATGTTACCTGAGGGAGGTGACTGGAGAAGAACCAGGTTGAAGGATCTATTTTAAAAGTTTGAGGTACTGCCCTGGCCAGTGTGGCTCAGTTGTTTGGAGCACTGTACACCAAAAGGTGCTGAGTTCAATTCCCAGTCATGGCACATAACCAGGTTTCAGTTTGGGCCCCCAATGGGGACCTGTGCAGGAGGCAACGGATGGATGTTTCTCTCTCATATCGATATTTCTCTCTCCCTTCCTCTCTCTAAAATAAATTTTAAAATAAAAAATAAATGTTTGAGGTACCTATTAGATATACAAGCGGAGGTGTCTGTGGGCTTCTAGAAATGTGAATCTGGAGTTTGAGGCCACAGATCACTGCCTTTTCCAAGTCTGTGGTGTGGTGATGGGTGTGGGCCAAGGTAAGGGGGTGAGGAAAGGATGTGTGGAGCCTCAGAAAGCTGTGCGGGGGTGAAGGGCAGACCCTAAAGGTGACTGGGGCATTCTGGGCCGCAAATCCTGCGCTCATCTCCCAGCTCACACCCACTCACTGGTGTCTTCTAGTTTCCCCCGGCCTTGGATGTAACCTGTCTCCTGGGATTGGTTCCTTTCTGGCTCCAGGCGTCTTCCTCACCTCAGCTCACTCTGGCTTTTCCAGTTCAGTGGGAAGTGGGAAAAGGTCTGGGACCAGCCCTGTTTCCCTCCTCAGACGAATCTTCACTCAGGAATCCAGTGACTCAGTTTCCCCGTCACAGATTGAGTTCCTCGCCAGTGTTCACCCTTGGACCCGGGAACTGCAGATCTGCATATGTAAATGAATAATTAGAAATAATTACGGGCTGAGTCAGCAGCTCCATTAGAAATAGAACCCAGGCGTCTTGACTCAGAAACCTGGGGTTCCCCCTACCGCCCAGCGGACGCGGCGTCCACCCAGCGACCCGGACCCTTTCTGGGGAATTGGAAGCTGCAACAGAGGTTCAGCTGCTCCGCGGCACCCGCGCGCCTCGCCACCCCACTCTCAGCCGGGCCAGACGTGGGCGGGGCCGGGCAGGGCCGGGGGCGGGGTTTCGGCGTGGGCGGGGCTTCCTGGAGTTCCGGAGTCGAGTCGCTGCCGGGGCTGGAACGGAGATGCAGCCGCCCTCCCGGAAAGTGAGCTTGGCCTGGGAATGGGGACTCTCGGCGGGCTGGGGGGAGTGGC